TTGGGCGTTTTATTCGTCATTTTCCAGGTAGGAGTTTTTCCCCGCTGTTTTGACTTTTATTTTAAATTCGACATGCTTTGCTGTTGGTTATATCTGTAGCTTTAGAGTGTTTGCTGTTCATTTACTTGTGTTTACTATCCAGTTCTTCAAAGAGTGCTTAAAAAGGCTTTTAGGTCAAAGCTTAATTTGGTTTTAGTTACGGCTTCTTGTCGGTGTTGTGTGCAGCTGTGAGGAGGTTCTTGGGGTGACTGCGAAGTTAAAGGTGAAAGTGTATGAAAACTCCTGACTTCCCAAGCACGCGGCTGCTCTAAAACCAATTGCTTAATGAATAATTGTCGTTGCGGTGTACAACGGTGAAGCAGTGCCTCGCCCTGTTTCCGTCGGTGACGTTGACTGCGGGCTGACCGCCATGTTGGATTGTTTTAGAAATTAAAAGTGAGGTCCAATCAGGGTCTTCTTCCACACGGCAGGTGACGTCACTGTAGACTTTCAAACAGTAGAAATTTGTTGCTTGGACTATTTTGTATAGAAATAATTACACAAAAACTCGAGACCTTCGTAAACCGTAAAAACATTTCAAACACGAGACTGGAAAAACGATAGCTAACTTAAAACACGAACATTGGTAATTAAATTAACCGATGTTAATTTAATTATCATTGGTTTAAAAATATAATCTGCTTTGTGTGACGAAAATAATTTGGTACAAGTTGAAGTTCTTTTATTATCGAGATAAGAAGCTTTTATTGTAAACAGCTTTATAGTGCAAGTCATCCTGAGAGGCTGGCTGGATATAAATGTACTGTTTCGTTTTATAGACCTAAAACACATTAGGTGTTTCTATCACTGTTGTGAAAAATAAAATAATTATGGTAAGTCAGTCACCAGGTGTTGATAGTGAAGTTTACCTGAGTCTGTTTACTAACCCAAAACCAGTGGTATGGTTAGAAATATAACTTGTAAATGTAGCATTTACAGTTTAGAGTAAGATTGAATGTAAGACTTTCGTTCTGTTTAGTCTCACAACTGGATGAAATTGAAATGACGTAACATTGTTGATACCAGCTCGGTTTTTGATTTTGAAGCAGTTTTTGATGCTTTGCACCTTAAGCAAGAATATATACAAAGATCTAGTCAAAAAATGGTGAATTAAAAATTCTATCAGCAAATTTATTATTGCAATAAATATGATTAGAAATGTCATTTAAAATTTTAAGTCCATATTGCCCAACCTAGGAAACTGACTGGAACAAAAATCAATCATTTAATCTATTGACATTTTAGGTTATGTTTAAAAAAAAAAAAAAAAAAAAACCTTTCATAGATCTCCGTAAGCAGTTTAGACTCCTAATAAGCGATTTTCCTAATAAGTGGGTTGCGATTCAAAGCAAGGTTGGATTTTTATGCATGTTATTTGCTTGTAATATAGATTCCCAAATTAAGTATCAGTATTTTATTTTTTTGAGGCAATGATTGCTGAAGACAAAACAGAAGCTCTTGCATGCTGAGAATGAAGGAATATTTTGAACCTATGTAATGCGCTGTGACATTAGCAGATATCATACATCTACAGCCTAGCAAGTCTATTAAGGTTGTTACTGTTTCTTCTGTAGAATATTTATTATACAGTTGTATAGTAGCTGTAACATTCCTGTAATGCATAGCGTCATCTATGCTTTTGGTCAACTAGCAATTGTTTTTTTGTTTTGTTTTTTTTTTTGCTCTTTGTATAACAGACTTTTGCACATGTTGATGCAGTGTTTGATGCATGATACCTAAGTCACTTCAAGCCACATAGTAATATAATAAAGTGTTATAGCTGAAAGGAAAGAAGAAGAAAAAAGACAAACCTATCGATGGCCTCTTGTGAAAATGTAAAGGGTTAAAATGGATTAATCTACTGTGTGCCATGGATATGAGCTGTTGTTTTTTTTTTTTAAATGGCTGAAATCATCAGGAACTGGGTTGGCAGCTTTTCATCGCTGTGGCTAGTTTGTCACCTTTCTGTAACTTCTATGCTAACTGTATTTACCTTCCAAAAGGTAAAAAAGCTACTGACAACTTCCATCTCTGACTTTTAAAAGTTATGACCATTCCTCTTGATATTCCTGAGGCTTTAGAGATCATTCTGACAGCCTCTGAAACATGGGCTTAAAAACACAACTGTATCATTTGCTGATTGTGTGAACTTACTGGCTTTTTACTATTAATATCTTGAAATATGTTTTCACTCTCTTGTCCTAAAGCTCTTGCATTATTAAAATGAAGATGTTGACACATTGTCACTGTTAAGCACTTTCTGTTTGAGCAACATTTTGGATGTTTCTCTGCTTTCTCAAACTGTTCTAAAATAAAATCTGTTTAATCCTCCGTGTGTGTGTGTGTGTGTGTGTGTGTGTGTGTGTGTGTGTGTGTGTGTGTGTGTGTGTGTGTGTGTGTGTGTGTGTGTGTGTGTGTGTGTATTCTCCTGTTACACACCCATGATTGCAGGCCTGAATGACATGCTCATTGTTATCTTCCAGGCCGCAGCTGCAGAGGAGTCATCATGTGTACCTGGATTTGAGTCAGAGCTGTTAATATTCGAAACGACCAGAAAACACCTGAAGCAAGGCACACGATTGGGCAAAGGTACGGCGAGCCTTCCCTGATCAGAATATGTCAATGTCTCGTTTTTATTGCTGCTGTTGGTTTCAAATACTACTTGTGTTTTAGCTTAGAAGGGTGATTTTTGAAGTAGTTGTTCAGTTCTTGTGTTGTACTCATTTCTGCAGCTCAGATAATATTCAGTCAGGTCTCAACTTGTCCCTGAACTTGTTCTGCTTACTTTTCAAATGGCGTTGCACACACTGACAAAGCTCAAAGTAAGGGTTAGGTTCTATGTTTGTCTTGTGTATATTCTATTGCTTATTTGTTGCAACATTTAGTTTAGCAATCACTTTGTTTGACCCGTTTAAACTGCTGTTACAGCAGAATCATTTCATGTTGGGCCCTAATTGTGAATATCCCATGCACTTCTTCTACATTTCAGCTCCACTTACCAATGGGAACTTGTTTCACAGACTTTTCCATGACTTTTTTATTCCCAAAAAGACTGATAGAAAGTGGGTAACAAATTTTAAATGAGTTATATAGGGATACTTGTATAACTATATGTATGTTGACTTGCAATCCTTGCTACAAGTCATGACTTGATGCAATCTGCTGGGTTTCCTTGAATAGATGACTTATAAACTAGTTTGAATAATGAACCAAGCTTCATGTCTGTTTGATAACTATGTATGTGTGATAAAATTAAATTGAATGCAGTAAAGTGCCTTGAGACATTTGTAGTGAATTGGTGTATAAAAATAAAGGGAATTGAATTGACTGAGTGTAGACTGGATGAAGTCTGAAATTTACAGGAAATGTAATGTTGCGTTTTTGAAGAAAAAAAACTCAGTTTTGATGCAATATTTAAATTATTACTTACCACAAGACCTTGCATTTTACTCAAGTATTCATATTTGCTTGTGAAGTAGCACTTGGGTATTGGTAGATAACTCAGTTATTTCTGAGAACCTTTGTGATTTTTTTGATTTCCCAGTTGGCTTTAGTACCAAGATTTCTTTTCACAGATGACAGCCGCTGTGTGCCAAACAGATGGAGTAGTAACGGTGAGTGACAGAGATATTTAGTCCATGTTTACATAAAGATCCTTACAGGTGCACAACTTACAAAATGTTATACATGCAAATGTTATACATTTGAACTGTACTGATGCAAAAGTATGGTCAGATGTACAGCTTCAGGGTAGTTTGGAAAAGAAACAAAAAAATCAAAACACTAATATTGCATTTTTTCCCATCAAAACGTTCTTAAGCCATTTTGTTTCATTTGCTTGCTGAAGTATGCATACCTCTTGAACATTTTCTCATTTTGGTTGGTTGGAACCTCAAAACAAAGTATTTTAGGGAGCAAAGAAGAGCATTAATTAGGAAGTGAATAGAAAGGCTGCATGGTTTCCAGCTCTGAACTGTGTGGTATGCTCTTGTATTAATACCCCTAAATTAAACCAAATCCAATCAACTTTCTCCAACTAATTTTTTTATATTTGTATTTTTGCAGTTGAAAATGCTTTAAGTGTAAATGGCACGTAGCTATTAAGTTTGTAAGACAAAATATTGAACATTTTTGCTTCACCCAAATGTTTCATTCTTACTTCTATGTAAATGCACAGTGAGTGTTGAATGTGTGGACTGGAAAATACAATAAAACTGAAGAATTAAGTATTTTGCTCATGGATTTCAAAATGACATTTGTAGACATGCTTTCAACACCGCCCACACGCTCTAGTGTTAGAATAATCCTGCCTCTTACACAGTGCATTCAGTGATGGCACAGACTACCTCCATCTTGAGCACTTTTATAGACATTAAGATTTTTTCCATTGCCAACTTTGCTGTGCCAGTATTTCCTCTGAATTCAGATGCTCAGTGCTGCCCCCTGGGGACTACAACATCTAACAATCATTATTAAAATATAGTTCTCTAAACCTAACCCTAAGTTGGCCTTGCCAATAAGACATCTGGGTGAACACTCTCCAAAAGGCCAGAAAAACCTTTAAATAAATAATATTGGACAGCTACAACATGTTGACAGCCATCTGAAATATTTATCGATTTAGTTTAGCAATATTTGGACACTTTTCCAGGATATATAAACTACCTGTTGAAAACATTTTGTGTGAAAATGCAACTCAGCCTTTACTCAAGTCATTTTGAACTTTTCTGAAAATAAGGTGATGGGATGCACGCATGGGTAGGTGTTGCTGAAATTACAATGTTAAGTACATTTTAAAAGAAAGGGGAAAAAAAAACCCACAATCCTTCTTGTGAGGCTGTTTGTCACAAATTCAATGAAACAATAGATTTAAGACCATCTTCCTGAAGTCCTATTTTTCAAACCCTCTTCTGACATTAAGCTGTGATAAAGTTACTTTGATCTTTCTACTCCAGGTAAAGAGACAAGTTGTCCTTCATGAGGGTCACCGGGACTTCTTCATCCACTCCTGGGACTCACAGGGTCAGAAGTTGACTGTACCCGCCATGGTGCTGTATGTTGGACATCATCATGGGAATAACCATCCAAATAGTGAGCAGCACCACAACATCCAGCTTCATGATCAGGTTGAGATGGACTCTGCCACTAAACAGGTAGGGAAGACATGGATGTGGTATATGATATGGTATGAAAATAATTTATTTATTCATTTTTGTTAAGCCTGCAGATTGACATGCTTTTTCAGATTGTCATCAAAATGTTTTTTGGATTTTATCTAAGAAAAAATCTTGTTGTTTGATTGATTTATAGAGGCAATAAAATTTAAAGCCACATACATCTCAGTGGCGACCGCAGGAGCTTTGGCACTGTCATCCCGTTATAATCAACGTTTTTGTGCCGTTCCAAGTGAGGTGAAGATTGTAGCGTGAATTTATCTTTTTATTCTTTTCTCCAACCTGTTTCCTCCCTAAAGGGTAGTCTAATCAGTTTCAGTCTTTCAGTCATGTAAGCAGATAGAGGACAAAGGAGAGGAAAACGCTGAATCCATAACAGCACCTTGATGTTTCTTGGCGAATAGTCAGGTTTTGAGGGTTGCACACATCATTGACGTTTAAAAAAATGTTTTTTTTTTTTGATAACTTCTGATCTTCAATGCCTCAAGACTCTGTTGAGTGACTGGAGTCTATATTTCAAGAGGAGTTTGCTCAGGTACATATCTATAAAAAATAAAATGGTGGCTTTGATCGAAATGGAAGCCTTCCTGTTGGGTTTGGACCACGGTTCTAAGAGATGTTTTTTGCCCCTTAACGTTTATTTGAACATGCACTATGAACAAACTGGTCAAGTTTGAATCTGATTGATTGAAATTCCTAGGAGAAGTTTGATCAAATGCGGAGTCTGTTAACAACAAAAATGGCATCAAAGTCACAATCCAAGTGGATCAAATTTTATATCTCCATAATAAAGATTAATGAGCAGGGTGTTTTAGAAAGTTGCAGAGTGATGGTGTTGATCCGTTTGTTACAATGTTTTCGTGACAATGTTAAAATGCATAAATTTCATGCAGGGATACTAAGTCCACTAAGTCTGCTGAGTTTTTGTTTAAACTGAACCATAATAAAAACAGAGATTACAATAGACTGACACAGCGCTTCACTGCTAAATAGAAGTGAATACTTTTTGTGGGACTGTACTTGTACAAACCTCACACTACCAAGGAGCTGTGTTGTGTTGAACAAATGCTTTTTAAAGCAGAGATGTTTTTTGTGAAACACTGCCACTTTGTGGCTATATTTAACATTTTCTCCTTCCATGCTTTTTTTTTTTTTGTACTGTCTTCCAGTCCCACATTTCTTTTCATGACTGGTTCATTTGAACTTCTGGCCCAGAGAAGATTTATATTAAGAGCTTCATAAGAAACTTTATTGTGTTAAATTTGAAGTCGGGATGCATTTGTATTTCTAATTATTTGTTTACTGATTAGAAAATATTTGTTTCCTTAGGATGCTCCTCAGGTTCCCATTCTGAATTTCCCAAGACCTAATCCAGGACTGAAGAGGAGGAAGAGAGACTGGGTTATCCCTCCTCTTAGTGCTACTGAGAATAGCAGAGGACCTTATCCCCTGTGGCTTGCTCAGGTAAGAGAAATTCAAATGAATGGATATTTCTGTGTAATTTTCTTTCCTCTTTCAGTTATACCTTGTATTTTAAGATATATTCCTCTATTTTGTGTGTGTTTTGTTTAATGGTATTTGAATATAACCTTGGTCTCTGTTGTCCAGATTCGCTCTGATGAAGATAAAGTGAAGAAGATCATTTACAGAATCACTGGTCCTGGAGCTGATCAGCCTCCTGTTAATCTTTTCACCATGGATAGAGACAATGGTAATCTGTATGTCACACAGGAACTGGACAGAGAGAAACAGGACAAGTACACGGTCAGTATTTTTTCTCGTACCTTTAGCCTGATGCTTTTCTATTCACTGTTAAAGATGAAATATAGAAGAAATTCAAGATAAAAACATTCTGAAACAAGTATCAAATATACAAAAAATACTCAAATAAAACTGGTAATCTCTGATTAAATATTCTGAGTATAGTTTATAATATGGGGAAAATGAAATATAGCTTTTCTTGGAACATAAAAACAGAGACAGTGTTATTCTAATATATTGAAATTGTCATTTTTACAGCTTAAAGCCCATGCTGAGTCAGTTGGAGGTGGTGCAAATGCAGAGGACCCTATGGAAATTATAATCAATGTAATTGACCAGAATGACAACAAACCTGTTTTCAATCAATCTACCTATAATGGAGAAGTTCCAGAGGCCTCGAAAAAAGGTAAAGTCCCAGGATTCAGATAACAAACATGCAAAAAGAAAATGTTTTACATTTTACAAGTAGCAAGTCTGCTAGGAACTTTTGGTAAGATTCTTTGAACAATTTTAACAAAAAATAAAAAGGGGCATATTAAGCAAAAATTTGGTTTTGTACTTTTGTTTCTAAAAACAGGCCAGACCATCATATAGCTGCTCAGTAAGGAGCAGCTATACGATGGCTGCTCCTTACTAAATGTAATGCAGTCAAATCTTTTGACTGCATTACATTTTATGTGCAAAGGTTGCACATAAAAAAAAACTACCAGATTGTAATTATATTTATATGCATAAGGTAATACTCAGCTGATCTGTGTCTTTATTGTTGTGTTTGGACCAGCAATGAATTCCTATAAGACAAAATTGAATATCTGGGTTGATTTGAGACCATCAGAACCTCGAGGTTCTTCATTGCTGAGTGTTGCTGCAAACATCAGAGGAGAGTTGACCACAACTCCTGTGCGCTCACGTCCCGCCCACGATAGTGAGGAACAGATCATATAGTGGAAAAGCTCATTAACTGGGGTAGATCCCAACCGCACATTAACTGGTTAAAGTATGACTTGTCAGTGGACAGATCTGGCTCTTGGTTAATTATTTATTCAATTACATAAGTTAGTTTTCAAAATAACTCATGAATGTATATGTGTATGTTTTAATTATTTATTACATAACTGTTGGACTGCTTGACATGCACATTCCACTCTCTGGGAAAGATAAAGTATCTGCTTTGATTTTTTTTTTTTACTTTAACCTTCTTACTGAGAAATTTAATTATATAATAATAAAAAAATTAAATACCTTTTGCTTTCTTTTATTTTTACACATTTATTGATCGAATTTGACAGATTGGTAACAGAATATAATCCAATCCTTGACATCACATTTCAAATCAAAGCATCAATCTGAATGACAGCAGGTTGATGCTGTCATTCAGATTATGTCAATTTCTTTTTTTAAAAGAAATTGGCAACGGCTCACAGAAACCCTTATCTGCACACGAAGTCACAAACCCTCAAGATAAGATGGAGTATTTGAGCTCCGAATGCTACTGGCTTGGATGCCTGATGGCTCTGAATAATCCTCCCATTAATCCGGACTGAGAGAATCACGCTGCATCAATGGACAAATGGAACATTCTGCCCCGAAATATTACAGCTGCTTCTGAAAAGAAGTGAGGAAAAAAAAATCATGTTTTTGTCAGCATTTGTCAGCAACTGTCAATTTCTTTTTTAAAAAGAAAATACATATCAATACATATTTGACAGAAAATACATAATCTCCAATACATAGATCTGTATGTATGTCGTATGTCATACGTCATATGACATAAAATGATAGATGATCGTAAAATGAGCTCGCTGTCTGACAGCTTCTCTTACACATCATACAATCTAGAATTTATTAGATTATATAGGTGCCAATTAATTGAAAGGCATATTAATACAATACAATGGGCTGCACGGTGCCATAGTTGGTAGCGCTACATTGCAGCAAGAACGTTCTGCGTTGGATCCTGCATGGAGTTTGCATGTTCTCCCTGTGCCTTCAATCTCACATGCTCAATATCAGCTGGTTGTGTTTCCTGCAATAAAGCAATTTGAGCTTTGTCTCTTTGAAATTTAGAGAAGACTTTCCACCTTTTTACAAGACTATGTAAACCATAGTCCAGTAAAAACATAAACAAATTTGTTGTATTTCTTACTGATAGCAGAGTTTAGTGGGTTTCCCGCTCACCCTTGTAAACATATAACATATGAAAAATTCAACATCAAGAATAAATTATTTGTAGGCAGTGAGTTTCTTAGTAGATCTTGCCGAAGTCTTAATAGCTGCTGCTCTCACTGTTGTTCATCGTTTTCTCTTGATTAGGTTTTGAGGTGATTAAGGTTTTGGCCACAGATGCTGATCAGCCAAATACTGACAACTCTGATATCAGGTACCGTATAATGAGTCAGACTCCAGAGGAGCCCAGTCCCAACATGTTTAACATCAACCCAATAACTGGACTCATCATCCTCAACCAAGCTGGACTGGACCGAGAGGTGATAACAGTTTTGGCCCATTTGACTAAAATCAGAATTAGGCTTCAGTTGGCGTGTATTTTTCTAATGAAACGCACGGATTTGGAAAAATGATGTAGAGTTTCAAAAGCAGAAGTTATTGTCAAATTGCTGTTTCAGTCAAATCTCTTTGATGTTTGAAACTTCAAATTAAGATTAATGTGGTGTATTTACCCCCATGATTTACCTGAGTTGGTACAGTCCTTGTATTCTGAGACATGCAACTTCTCTCTATGGTTATCACAGATATAACACAACAATAAAGATAAATGGATATAGACTGAGTCTCCTCTGTTTATTAAGACAATACTATTAATTTCTCATAGTTCTAATGATACCGTTTTGATTGATTTAAAGAAATAAAAGTGCAGTGAGAGCTGCTGTGCTCTCCTCCCACCTCAGAAACATTTTCAGGTTGTCGATCTAACAGCAGCAGAGCAGAGAGGAAACCCACTCTGTTCCATTTGCACCTTGCAAAAATCACTCAAACACAAAGCTGCCAGTAATCCTGCTCCGAATTACAGTAACAAATACATTTATACATATGCTATTGACATTTAATCATATGCATGCTTGAGTAATATAGAGAAAAAATAGTAAGTAAATGGGCAAAATGCTTGAGTAAAATGGTGATTTCTATTGGTTTAACTAAATCATGCTCTAACTGGATCATTTCACAATTCAGTCTTGTCAGGCATTTAAAAACAGATCATTCAATAATTCCCAAGAATAAAAAATCCCAAGAAACAAAAAGTTACAATATTATTCTTAAATATTGTGACTTATCATGATGATATTTATCTTATAATTAACTGAGGTTGACATGAAAAGACAAGTCATTTTTTTTAAGTATGTCAACAGCAGTCTTTATAAGTTAGTTCTTCATTTGAATTATTAATTATTAGTTGGGCAATAGTATTGTCCATCATTTCCACACCTCTCCTGCAGTGTCCTGTATCAGATTCTATGTTCTCTGCTTTAAGCAGAGACGTTTCTCAGAATGAGCTGTTTGTTGGAACCTAAATACTTTCTATGCTAAGTTTTTCTTAAAAGCTCTGCAAGTGATAAGAGGATTGAAATAGTGTTGAGTATTTTAGGAAGCTGATTTTCTACACTTCAGTGACAATGAACTAAAAGTATCTTGTTTAACATTTCATTTCATTCAACAGAAAAATTCTCTGTACACACTGGATGTTCAGGTAGCTGACTTGAAAGGAGAAGGTTTGACTGGATTTACCAAAGTGTTTATCAAAGTGATGGACAGCAACGATCACGCTCCAGTCTTTACGGAGGCCTCTGTGAGTAAAACTGCTTTTTTTAAAATTTATTGCTGATTTTGTCGCCTAGTAATTACTCGCAAATATTATATTCAAATCTATTGATCACATTGATTTGTGCAGCACATGGTCAGTAAACAGTAGATCACTCTCACTGCTATTAGTGAGTCCTTAAAGTACATATGACATAAAATGATAAATGATGGTAAAATGAGCTCGCTGTCTGACAACTTGTCTTACACATCTTCTGTCTCCTCTCAGTACACGGCCACAGTTGAAGAGAATAAAGTAGACGCTCTAGTTGTTAAGATGTTGGTGACGGACGGTGATGAGCCTCAAAGCCCAGCCTGGAATGCAAAGTTCAAGATCATTGATGGAAATAAAGAAAATCTGTTTACTGTGGAAACAGGAACAAACAAACAAGAAGGAATCATCACTACTGCTAAGGTAAGAGGAACAGGAACAGAACCTGTTGGACATTTGGTCCAACAGGTTCTGACTGTTGGACCAAATGTAGTTTTTTCAAAGTATTTTGTTTTTAAGCAAAATTCAGTGACCCTGAAGTTCAGCCTGAGCTGTTCATGCCTGAGTTAATACTGAACCTTTCTTCCTCTAAACCATGTGGTTTTAGGGTCTGGACTTTGAGAGAGTCAGTAAGCACACTCTGCTGGTCACCGTGGTGAATGAGGAACCTTTCGCTGTTTCATTGATCACTTCCACTGCTACAGTGGTGGTGACTGTGGAGGATGTCAATGAACCTCCCATCTTTGATCCAAAAGAGAAACAGGTTTCTAAACCTGAGGATCTTGCTGTGAACAGCACTGTGGTGCGGTACACAGCTTCTGATCCAGACATTGGACGCAAACAGAAAGTCACGTAAGGAACCTGAAAATCCTCCAACATGAAGAGTCACAGCATGCATATTTTACATTTATGTTGTAGATAAGTAATTTCTTTTCTTGATCACACAGCTTGCAAAGTCCTGCTTTGTGTTATTTACATTCATTTTTGTGCTTGATGTTCAGGTATAAAATGCTCAAAGACCCAGCTGGCTGGCTTCACGTTGAGAGGGACACTGGTGTGATAAAAGTGAGAAAAGACATGGACAGAGAATCTCCATTTGTCAAAGAGGAGAAATACACAGTCCTGATTGGTGCATATGATGATGGTAGGTGTGAGAATTAACTGTCTTAATGGTTTTGGAGGAATTCTTCATAAATAACTGCAAGTTAAAAGGAATTTAATTTAATGGTTTGAGCCCAAACTGTCAAGCTTTCCTTGAAAAGAGCTCTTTAGAGTATTATCTGTAGCAGTTCTGAATTTCTCAAACTTTTCTTTTGAGATTTTTTACACTTTCCTTCAGCGATCATTGAAAGTGTCAATAACTACCTATAATAACTTTTTATCATGTCTCCAGATCAGATCCCAGCTACAGGAACTGGAACTCTGATCATTACACTTGAGGACGTCAACGACAACGGCCCCGTCATTGAGGATCGTTTAATTAATGTACGTACCCTCCAACCAAACCAGGTCCAGATAATTTACATGTTGCACCTAGGCCTGTCGCGATAAACGATAAGTCAATAAATCGAACGATAAGTTAAAACTATCGACCTCATTTCAATTATCGTCTATATCGTTTCTTCCTGCCTTTTTCTCTTACTGTTGATGACACTGAATGAAAAAAGGCTCCACTCCGGTGCTCTCCACTGACCCTTATTTCCTTAGTGTAATGCCCAGCGCGTGCTGCACAATCTTATGTCGCCGATTGTCGGCCCATTATCAAAACCTGAGACACATTAGCGACAGAAATCCTCGCTATAACGGTTCGGTTGAAACCGTGTTGTGTCCAACAATGGACACAAAATAACAAGTCCAATTCACTAATTTTGAAACAGCATTAATCAATTCTTTACTACAATCTACCTGCAATGCATGTGGCGAGTGTCAGTCTGACTGAATGAAAATCATTAGAACCTATTTATGTCACGTTAACGAAGAACAGCTGAAAAGTTACCGGGTATCTGGTAGAAATTTCGCGCCAACTCCTCCCCTAGTTATTTATATTTTCTTTGCACGAGCTGTTGAATAAACATTCATGTTGTTTCCGATGCCTACTGGACTTCGGGTTGCACCGTGTCAGCTGTTCGGGATTCCCTCCATGACAGAATCCGCGCTTTCTGATTGGCTACCGGTCACATTCAACAAGTTGCGTCACTCTCCCAGTCTGGATGAATCCTTGATTTAGATAGGGGCGGCTACGACGATTTACCGTAACACACAAGGGACAATCTTAGAACGAATGACGTTCTAAGATTGTCGTTCGGGGTAAAAAATCCAGTAGTTTGAACTATTGCATCAGGAAGTCGGATTCTTCTCTATTTAAATCTAATGATTACTGAAGGCCAATAAACTATACAGACTTCATAATCTGCACTCTTTTGGTTGAATGCAGTATTTATTTCCACTTTGGCTTTATGTTGTTATTCAAGTACATTTATTGTTAATGGAGACTAAGAATCAATTTTATTTTTGGTTTTGGTTGTTTTATTTATTTTGTGTATCAGTCCCAGTGTTAAGTGTCTTTTGAAAGTAAAGTGTTTCTATCTTTGGCAGGAAATCGCATGTATTATTACGTAATTTCCATTAAATCAATGTAAAAAGGTCTTCAAACAATATTATCGTTTATCGCAATAATTTTTGAGACAATATATCGCCCAGCAAAATCTGTTATCGTGACAGGCCTAGTTGTACCTATCTTTTCAGGAACTTTAGAGTTGTAGTTTGACTTATTTGTAAATTGTTAAATAGAAAATTACAAATATACTGCAGCATAATCCCATCAGTGTTTTAAATTCATTTTGTTTCCATAGATGTGTAACAAGAAGACAGTTCCTCAGCTGCTGACTGTAACAGATGAAGATGGACCAGGCTTTACTTTTCCATACAGCGTTGTCTTACAGGACACTGCTAAGGCCAACTGGACCGCGAGGATGAACGACAACAGTATGTAAACTTAATGACGTAACAATTGTATCATATTTTGTTGCTGTTTCTGTAATGACGGTGATGTAAATGATTGCAAAGGCCTGTTGAATTTTCTGTTTGTCTGGGAGACAGCTGACCCACCCAAAGTTACTACTGCAAATAAAACCTGCCTATAGTAACATAGATTTATTGCTTAAAAATCAGCTGAATAAAACAAATCTAAATGTTTGTGGTGGGAATGGAATAGGGCTTGAAGAAAAAAACTTGTATTGACAAAGTAATTTTAAGTGTGTTTATTGTATATTTTTCTTTTTCAGAAACTGCTATTATTTTGACTTTGACACGTGAGCTGGAGAGTGGAACTTACACGGTGGGCATGGTGGTTTCAGACAACCAGCTCAAGAGTCTACTCAACACAATCAAAGTTGAACTGTGTGACTGCAGTGGAGAAGAAGTGAGCTGCAAAGACAAAGTTATTGCTGGCTCCAGCATGCCGGTCATCCTGGGAATACTCGGTGGCGTCCTCCTGCTACTCAGTGAGTTTAGGAATTTACCACGTTTCTTGATGAATATGAGTTCTGTCAGTGAAAGTTGGTCTGAAGAAAAATTGTTAATGGTTTTGATCTATCTGATCTCTTAATGAAAAAGTTCAACTATGGATTAACTAAAATAATAATTTCCTGAATTTGCTACTTGAAGAGAGTCGTGTCAGATATTTTCACTCTGAAGGTGACCTGAGCTGCTTTTGTCTGGAATAGTTTCTCTGTCTGAATGCTGGCCACCCAGCAGTCTTGACTGGTGTAGATTGTATTATGTCACATGTGCAGACTTGATGAGATCACCCAGGACATATTTTGGCAGCACTCCATAGTGGTTGTCACCTTCCAGCTTCATGGGATTATTTTGCTCTTGAAATGAGAAATCATGTCAGTTTTATGCTCTTTCAGTGCTGGTCCTGCTGCTGCTACTGTTGGCAAATAAAAACAAGCCAAAGAAGGAACAACCTTTGCTCCTAGACAACGACATCAGAGATGACATCTTTTTCTATGATGAGGAGGGAGGCGGAGAGGAGGACCAGGTAAATGCTGCTTATATAATTGATATTTATAGTCTGGAACATTGTTTACATGTAATATTTTTTACATGGAGCTGATGGCTATAACTATTCATGAGAATGTATTTAAATCTTAATTTACTCTCAACAAGCTCTTCTAGTGGTTTAATCCAGTGACTATTTTTATGTCTTGTAATCTAAAAGGAAGCTTTATTTTGCGTTTTTCTCCATTAGGACTACTTTGATCTGGGTGTTCTCCACCGTGGTTTGGACAACCGTCCCCACGTGGTCAGGGATGAAGTGGTTCCAGTTTTTCAGTCACGGCCTTTTGTGTACAAACCTCGGCCCGCTAACCCAGAAGATATTGGTGGCTTCATTGATGATGTGAGTTCAAAACACCACTAAAGAACTTACTTCTGTTGAAAAATAACCTGAAAGCATTATAACATATTCTACTCTACGACACAGAACCTGAAGGCGGCAGATAACGACCCGACTGCTCCCCCCTACGACTCCCTGCTGGTGTTTGATTATGAAGGAGGCGGTTCTGAAGCTGGAAGCATTTCATCTCTGAACTCGTCAAGCGATGGAGACCAGGACTATGACTGCCTCAGCGACTGGGGCCCTCGCTTCAAGAAACTGGCAGACATGTATGGAGGAGGAGATGATGATGACATGATGTAAATGGAGCAGTACTGAGGAAAAGTAGCCTCATGAGTTTAAGTGTGCTGAAGTGAAGACATCAGTGAGATGTTGTTTTGTGAATTTTAGTTCAGCCAATTTGGCATTTGAGCAACTGCAGAGTTTGGCTTTATGAGTTTTCCCCATTAGAGAAGTCTTTCTGAGCCTTTTATTTTGTTTTGTTTTAGGCTGGCCAAAAATGTTTTATTTGTAGCTTACTGAAATAGTGGTCTCATACACTGAAAGATTTGCAGTATCACTGGTTTAAAAAAAAAAAACTAGTGTGGAGCTGGTAAAATAAAGTACTTTTTTTTAATCTCTTTTGCATTCTGTGTTTATAGTTTTGTATAAATGATGGATTAGAAACATTTCAGAAATATGAAATCCTGGTAGCCAGCCAAAGGCGAGTCAACCTGTGGACTACATCTGAGTTGATAATATATGCTTCTTGTACTGCTTTACTAAATCTTGATGCAATAATTTCTGATGTATGGTAAAAGGTTAAATGTCATGTTTCACTTTTTATATATATATAAAGTTATACATTTTAGATTTGTATGGCGTTTGTTTTTTTCCAGAATAGTAATTACTTTATTAACAGTGGAACGTTTGGGAACACAGCTTTTATTTTAACAATGTTCATTAAAAATCCGTGTAGAACGACTTTTTCTGAAGTCAAAGCCGCATGACTTTAATGACAGCAAGTTGAGAACTGTGGAAAGTTCCCAAAGAAATTACCGGAAAACTGCATTACAGCTGTGGCTTCGACATCAGGATGTGAGTCTATGCATCAATACTGTATGCAAAGTGCTTTGTGTAAGCTTGTGCAGGCTTGTGTGTAAAATATGGCGGCACACAATTTTTGTACGCATGCACATTTTATGCACAAGGCCCCTGGTCCTTCCAGAACTAAACATGGAGAAGCATTCAGTTTTTCTGCTCTCTCTAATCTGCAGAAAACAGCAAAGCTGCTGAAAAGTTGAGTTTCTTTAAATTGAGGCTAAAAACCCACTTGCTTAGTGTCGCCTTTCACTGTTCTATCAGTCAGGTGTGGAACTGAAACAGACCAACTTTCCCTTATTGTACCACTGCAGTGTAAACTCCCTTCAATTTTTCATCATAGCACTGTGAATCATGTTTCTGAAATGGGATAAACTTGTCTTGGGGAAAGTTACTAATGGTATTCTGATGAGCTCGGATGGATTTGTGTCTTTAACTGCCTGAGATTTCAGTAGCAGGGACAGTTTTGTGCCTTTGGCTTTGTTTAGCTCAACAGATGCCCCATCAAATCCTGTTTGATGTGCAGCTCTTCCTGCACACCTCATGTGAAAACGAGAGCAAACTTAGGAGCATGTGCATCTGAAAAAACAACTATCCGATTTATAATGATTCTTCTGGCATATCAGGAAACTAGTCAGAAATGAAAGAAATACAGAGCTTCAAATAACAGTTGCTGTTTGATGCCTCTTGTTTCCTTGAGTCAGTTTGTGTCTGAGTGTTTGATGATGTGCCTGAATCCTGCATACATTTAAGGAATGCATTATCCAAATGTTTTTGCGTGCTTCCTGAGTATTAAAAGAGGCTCCATCGAGGATTCTCAGAAGAATATAAAAATTTTTAATTGACTGGTTTTTAAACAAATGGACAACACTCAAACTTTTGAGTGTTTTGATCATCATGCATCAGGTAAAACATCCTCTGGCCCTTGTGACTTAACACTCCAAGCTGCTTCCCCAGATTTCTGTACAGAATGAAACTTTTCTTTAAACTTGATTTTCCTTTTCTAGGCTTTTTTTCCCCCCTGTTCTTGCATATTATGTCCTGCCTGTGTTTAAAAAAAAGACCATTGTGTCAGTACAAATCTTAATGTGATTGACAATAACAAGTCAGTGATGGTGAAGTTGGACTCGGTCAAAGATTTATTAAAATTAGCATTACAATTCCCGTTCAAATGTCATGGTGCATAGCAGAACATAATGACCTGATTAACCTGAGAATAGTTTGATTTATACATGATGAACTTTGCTGTACTTCTTTTAATGACATTACAGCCACAAACAGAGACTATAAGTTGAAGCTTTACATTTGGTGAATCTTCATCTGTAGCTTCACCAGATCAGGAGACGACAGGTTCATACTTTTCAGTTGGCCAACTTTTCTAAAAATCCTTTTTTTTTTTGTATTGGTCTTAAGTAATATTCTAATTTTCTGAGATGCTGAATTTGGGTTTTTTATTAAATTTAGCTCAACATTAAAAGAAATTAACATTTGAAATATATCAGTCTGATATATTTTAAAAATCAGACAGATATTTGAAACTCCAAATAATTTTTTATTTGGAGTTTCAATAAAAGCTACTCTGACAGCCCATAATCCATGTTTTGGTTGGAAATAAGAAAACTGTTAAAGGAAGGAAAAGCATAAATTATATTAAGACGTTCTAATATTTCATTTTGGATTCCATCCATCTAACCATTCTTTCATTCATTGTCTATAGTTTTGCAACAGTGCTACCAACTCTGTCACTTTGCAGGCCTCTGTGTGTGTGTGTGTGTGTGTGTGTGTGTGTGTGTGTGTGCGCGTGTGTGTGTGTGTGTGTGTGTGTGTGTGTGTGTGTGTGTGGGCACGTTTGTTTGTAATAACTTGTGGGGGCCATTTTCCTGACATACTATATTGTGGGGACCCACAGATTCCTGTGGGGAACCGAAGCCTGGTCCCCATAAGGGGAAACGTTGTTTGTGGGTCAGGGGTCAGATTTAGTACTAAGTTTTGGTTAGGGTTAGGATAAGGATAAAGTTTAGGCTGTAGAAATGAATGAAAGTCAATGGAAAGTCCACACAAAGACAGCCATGCAAACATGTGCGTGTGTTTTATTTTTTCTTGTAACACTTGTTCTGTCCATGTGACTTGTTCTGTCCAACAAGTCACATTGACTTGTTGGACATGTGACTTGTGTGTTCCCTCAGTGGGTAGGTGGGTGGTTAGATGTGTTGAAACTGCGACACAGCATGACCAATAGCATGTGTTGCTCTGCCTGTAGCCTAACTAGGAAGTGAATTAAAGCCTCCACCATTCTCAGAATGACACCAGTGGCAAAGAAACCAATTTAGTTAATCAGACGAGGATGGAAAGCGGTTGAGCAGAAGTGCAGACAGAGGGAAATCAAGAGATTGGAAACAGCTGAGAGGAGCAGCAAGCTGGCAAGCTGAGGGAAACGAAACAACGCAGAGAGGAAAAAAATCCCCTCAAACTAACAAACGATAAAATCAGAGAAACACCAAACTAAAGAAATAAATCCAAACTGGACCAATGGTTCAAATAGGAGAGCCGCAATAAAAGTAGGCGTGGCTTGTACAGCAGCATTTTGATTCACATCAGATTATGCAGGACTCACTGACTTGTGTCTGTGTTTCTATTTTATTTGTGGGAAAATCCAATACAGGTGTGTAAATCAATTGCACTCCTAAACTATGGAATGATTTGCGGTGAAATTAAGATTTTCGTTTGAATGCATGGCTTGAGGAATACAATTTGTGTACTTGTACTTAGGAATTTGAAGAGTTGGAAGAGTTGTTCTGGACTTGTGAAAGCAGAATTGTACAAGTCCTGCAGAATTTATCCTATAAATTCAATTTCACAGTTAAATCCACAATACTTTTGCACCAAATATACCTGCTTATAAAATATTTATAATAATATTACTCTCCAACATCAGGGCACTAGACTTCAAGACCCTCTCCATGCAGTTTTTAGTTTGTTTATTTGTTTGTTTAATAAATCCAACTAAATGAGGTGTATAAATGCTTTCATAAATATCTCTTGTCCACATTTATTTGTCTTTTACAAATTCTTTCCTTATTTTCTTCCTGGCTGCTTCTGCCTGAAACATCCTGCTGGTGTCTGAATGTAAAAATGATTCTTTTTTACTTTAATTACCTTAGTTGCAATGAGCTGTTGCTTAGAGGTAAGATAAGTTGTTTTTGACGTCTGTGTGGTATAATATCACCACCTTTTTCACCCCCTGAAAGATCTGCAAAAAAAAACAAAGAAAAGAAATTACTCAAGGCCATTGTTTCAGGATGGTGACAATCTACGTCTTTCTAGTTTTTTTTTCTTCTGGTTTGAGTTCAGCAGCTTTGACAGCAGCAACAGGATGGTTGCTGCTGTCAATGCTGTGAGCTCTGTAGCTTCTAGCAGGTTAACCAGGCAATCAGTCAACATGGTATCTGAAAACAAAGCTGTTATTTAGGGCTGGCAAAATAAAAATGCAATACATTTCATCCTGCTGCTCTTGAACTTTTCAGTGTTTTTCATGTTCATATTGTGTTGCTGTGGGATGCATGAATGTTGCGGCGGAGGAGAGTCCTGCCTATCATCAGTTAGGTTCATGCCTCTCTTTGAAGTTTATGTCACATCGTCTCAAAGTGAAAATGTTTCCGCTGCTTTTTCTTGAGAATTTTTATCTACTTCAGTCAGTCGTGGTTTTGAAAGAGGATGTGAAAAAAGGAAGATCTGCAGCTCTGTCAGATTCTGTGTCTATGGACGCCGATCCTTACATTTTGAATCATCCATATTCTGCAGTTTTACTCGGCTTTTCACGTGAAGTTTACCAGAACTCATTTGCTGCAGCTGGGAAAGTCTGAAAATGGACACAAAAGAAACCAAATGAAACCCAGTTAAAATGATGAATCTGACAAAAGAAAAAAAGAAAAGAAAAAGGAACTTTTGACTTTTAGTGCATGTACTTCTCATTTGTGTGTGCTTTTTTTTTGTGGCTTTTTATGTCTGTACATCTGGTGGTTTGTGCGCAGACTGCAGACATGTAAAGTAATCTTCAGAAATTGTTCCTCTGAACAGATGCAGATGCGAAGGTTTTGTTTTTTCCAAGAGATTTTGGTCACAAAGGTAAATCACGTGAACTTTCACAAATGGAGATCACTTGGTTTGTAGTTTGGAGTATTTGGATCTTGTGTCAGGTAAGAAATCTTCCTTTCATTACAGTCTTAACAATCTCATTAAAATTAAATAATTCTCATTTTTTAATATATGTTAAGACTTTTTAAACTACGATTGTTTATCTACATTTTGTTGTAATTGTTACTGATAAAAAGAAGTTAGGTTTAAAGGTTTAAGGCCAAGCTACTACATGGTTCTGACATTTAGCTCAGACTTACTATACCAACGGTTTGATTGCACTGTTTGGGGTTAACTTGATCAAGTTTACAATAATGCTAATGAGGAAAGGTTGTTTTTTAGTTCCTTCTTCAGTTGTCCTGTAATCAATTCAAAGTGGGATGAAATGCAAGGTTTCCCTAGAAATCTTGCTAAACTGGTAGATGGGTGGCAGGCCAGTCATTCATTCAGCAGCCTGTTGTGTTTTTGAGCTAAAAAATTTGAAAATATCTCTTGGTAATTATGTGTTATTGAAAGAATGGAAGATTGATACCCGAACACTAACTATAAAGTTTTAAAAATGCAAACATTTTAAAAAGACTTAATTAAATAAGCTTAGCCTGGTGGGGGCACAAGTGAAGCCTGGAGGCCCGCCAGGCTTATGACACACAGGGGGCAACCCTGAAATATTTGACATCTAATTTGATCATTGTATTGATATTCTGCCGTCACCAATGAAGACTTTTACAGGCGAGTAAATTTATGAAACTTCAATCTATCACCTGCAAAAAGGAAATGAAATGTTTCCAATCTGAAGCCAAACTGTTTATGACACCACAGATTAGAATCGATCTCATAAATAAATTCATGGTGTCTCCTCTTCCAGACCTCATCTGCTGCAGACGGGGCATCGTGTGAACCTGGATTTGAGTCAGAGCTGTTTATATTAAAAGTGAGCAGAAAGAACCTGAAGCCCGGCACAAGACTGGGCAAAGGTATCAGGACTCCCTCCATCTGCTCCATCACTCCACCACTCATGCCTCTGCTTCAGCACGCCTGGCTCCAGTATTAGCTCATTAGCAGAGCTTGACTGCATGCTAGTCAAGCATTTAGTCCTAGCATGTGGGACAAGGGACACATGCAGGACTCTAAGATTAAATGTTCAAAAACGATCTGCCTGAAAATCTGAAGTGTACAAAAATTACTTTCCAATGTGTTTTAAAATGTCTTGATTTAATATATATATATATATTATTATTACTATTATTTTTTCATGGTGCTCACATTTTCATAATTCCTTTGTAGTTTCTGTTTTCTAAATATGTCTTATTTTTATTACTTCTAGTAAGTATTGTATTACTTTGTGTCTGTGGAAAAACCGAGAGATCTTTGTTTTTATTGGAATCATTGTATTTCTTAAATATATTGATTTATTTCAATGTATTTATTTCCAGTTGGCTTCACTGACTGCACGAGCCGCACAAGATTTCTCTTCAGCACAGATGACAAGCATTTAGTTGTAGAGACTGAGGGAATAATAACTGTGAGTAACTGGAAACCCATATTGTTATTGGACGACATGTCACATGACTCTCACATAATGTTGTTCTTGGGTGTTTCTAAGGTAATGTCAAATAAAATGCATTATTATTATTATTATTATTATTATTATTATTATTTTTATTATTATTATGTCACGTGTGTCTTACCTCAAACCTGCTATTATTTGACAATCTGCCTTTAGGGAGTCTGGTTGACAAAAATGTTATTTATCATCTGCAGCTGGGCAGAATGTAGAAATCAAATAATGACATCTATGATTATCCTATATTTAACGGGAAACTCTACAGGAGCTGTTAATTACTGAATTGTCTCCCGGCGGAAAACATTTATTGTACTTTTATGAATGTGAAAAGAGGAAATGATAGTGGCCAGTGAAAATACTTAAGTATCCTTACAGTTCTTTTTTTTCTTTTCTTATCAATAATATATGATCAACAAAGGTGGTTATGTTTGTCATTGTTCCTGAAGAGAAGGTTTATAAACCCTAGTTGGCTTTAGACAGAGTCACATGATCTCATCAGTTCTGAGAGTTAAAGAGACACCAGGCCAATGACCTTTGCCCTTGTCTCCGTCCAGGTAAAGAGACGGGTCGTCCTTCATGAGGGGATCCATAACTTCTTGCTCCATGCCTGGGATTCACAGGGTCAGAAAATGACTCTTCCTGTCAGGCTGCTGTATCCAGAGCATCACTATACGAACAACCGTCTGGATGCTGAATTTCATCAAGAGGCTCAGAAACTCAACAAGCAGCTTCATGATCACCTGGATTCTGATAGAAATCAGCAGGTGAGTTCAGAGTGGCTGTAAAGTCGGCCAGAGAGGAAAGTTGTTCTTCTAGAAAGTAGAAAAAATGCATCATCCCCGTCACAAACTCATCTAATCTCCACTGAGCAGCTTTTCTTCTTTAAGAAGGTTTGATATGTAGAGATGTTTCTCTGTGAGATGCTGTCGGGATGCATTTGTATTTCTGATTATTTGTTTACTGATTAGAAAATATTTGTTTCCTTAGGATGCTCCTCAGGTTCCCATTCTGAATTTCCCAAGACCTAATCCAGGACTGAAGAGGAGGAAGAGAGACTGGGTTACCCCTCCTCTTAGTGTTGCTGAGAATAGCAGAGGACCTTATCCCCTGTGGCTTGCTCAGGTAAGAGAAATTCAAATGAATGGATATTTCAGTGTCATTTTCTTTTCCTTGTATTTTAAGTGTATTCCTCTATTTTTGTGTGTGTTTTGTTTAATGGTATTTGAATATAACCTTGGTCTCTGTTGTCCAGATTCGCTCTGATGGCAATAAAGTGAAGAAGATCATTTACAGAATCACTGGTCCTGGAGCTGATCAGCCTCCTGTTAATCTTTTCACCATGGATAGAGACAATGGTAATCTGTATGTCACACAGGAACTGGACAGAGAGAAAGAGGGCAAGTACACGGTCAGTATTTTTTCTCGTACCTTTAGCCTGATGCTTTTCTATTCACTGTTAAAGATGAAATATAGAAGAAATTCAAGATAAAAAACATTCTGAAACAAGTATCAAATGTACGAAAAAAACTCAAATAAAACTGGTAATCTCTGATTAAATATTCTGAGTATAGTTATAATATGGGGAAAATGAAATATAGCTTTTCTTGGAACATAAAAACAGAAATTGTCATTTTTACAGCTTAAAGCCCATGCTGAGGCAGTTGAAGGTGGTGCAAATGTAGAGGACCCTATGGAAATTATAATCATTGTAATTGACCAGAATGACAACAAACCTGTTTTCAATCAATCTACCTATAATGGAGAAGTTCCAGAGGCCTCGAAAAAAGGTAAAGTCCCAGGATTCAGATAACAAACATGCAAAAAGAAAATGATTCACTTTTTACAAGTTGCAAGTCTGCTAGGAACTTTTGGTAAGATTCTTTGAACAATTTTAACAAAAAATAAAAAGGGGCATATTAAGCAAAAATTTGGTTTTGTACTTTTGTTTCTAAAAACAGGCCAGACCATCATATAGCTGCTCAGTAAGGAGGAACACTTAAATCTTTTGACTGCATTACATTTTATGTGCAAAGGTTGCACATAAAAAAAACTACCAGATTGTAATTATATTTATATGCATAAGGTAATACTCAGCTGATCTGTGTCTTTATTGTTGTGTTTGGACCAGCAATGAATTCCTATAAGACAAAATTGAATATCTGGGTTGATTTGAGACCATCAGAACCTCGAGGTTCTTCATTGCTGAGTGTTGCTGCAAACATCAGAGGAGAGTTGACCACAACTCCTGTGCGCTCACGTCCCGCCCACGATAGTGAGGAACAGATCATATAGTGGAAAAGCTCAGTAACTGGGTAGATCCCAACCGCACATTAACTGGTTAAAGTACGACTTGTCAGTGGACAGATCTGGCTCTTGGTTTATTATTTATTCAATTACATAAGTTAGTTTTCAAAATAACTCATGAATGTATATGTGTATGTTTTAATTATTTATTACATAACTGTTGGACTGCTTGACATGCACATTCCACTCTCTGGGAAAGATAAAGTATCTGCTTTGATTTTTTTTTTACTTTAACCTTCTTACTGAGAAATTAATTATAATAATAATAAAAAAATTAAATACCTTTTGCTTTCTTTTATTTTTACACATTTATTGATCGAATTTGACAGATTGGTAACAGAATATAATCCAATCCTTGACATCACATTTCAAATCAAAGCATCAATCTGAATGACAGCAGATTGATGCTGTCATTCAGATTATGTCAATTTTTTTTTTAAAAGAAATTGACATGAATGGCTTGACATACTCCATCCACTTTGACCATATCTTGTAGAAAATGTCCTTCTGCAGTTGGACAGAAAATGCATAGATCTCCAATACATAGATCTGTATGTATGTCGTATGTCATACGTCATATGACATAAAATGATAGATGATCGTAAAATGAGCTCGCTGTCTGACAGCTTCTCTTACACATCATACAATCTAGAATTTATTAGATTATATAGGTGCCAATTAATTGAAAGGCATATTAATACAATACAATGGGCTGCACGGTGCCATAGTTGGTAGCGCTACATTGCAGCAAGAACGTTCTGCGTTGGATCCTGCATGGAGTTTGCATGTTCTCCCTGTGCCTTCAATCTCACATGCTCAATATCAGCTGGTTGTGTTTCCTGCAATAAAGCAATTTGAGCTTTGTCTCTTTGAAATTTAGAGAAGACTTTCCACCTTTTTACAAGACTATGTAAACCATAGTCCAGTAAAAACATAAACAAATTTGTTGTATTTCTTACTGATAGCAGAGTTTAGTGGGTTTCCCGCTCACCCTTGTAAACATATAACATATGAAAAATTCAACATCAAGAATAAATTATTTGTAGGCAGTGAGTTTCTTAGTAGATCTTGCCTAAGTCTTAATAGCTGCTGCTCTCACTGTTGTTCATCGTTTTCTCTTGATTAGGTTTTGAGGTGATTAAGGTTTTGGCCACAGATGCTGATCAGCCAAATACTGACAACTCTGATATCAGGTACCGTATAATGAGTCAGACTCCAGAGGAGCCCAGTCCCAACATGTTTAACATCAACCCAATAACTGGACTCATCATCCTCAACCAAGCTGGACTGGACCGAGAGGTGATAACAGTTTTGGCCCATTTGACTAAAATCAGAATTAGGCTTCAGTTGGCGTGTATTTTTCTAATGAAACGCACGGATTTGGAAAAATGATGTAGAGTTTCAAAAGCAGAAGTTATTGTCAAATTGCTGTTTCAGTCAAATCTCTTTGATGTTTGAAACTTCAAATTAAGATTAATGTGGTGTATTTACCCCCATGATTTACCTGAGTTGGTACAGTCCTTGTATTCTGAGACATGCAACTTCTCTCTATGGTTATCACAGATATAACACAACAATAAAGATAAATGGATATAGACTGAGTCTCCTCTGTTTATTAAGACAATACTATTAATTTCTCATAGTTCTAATGTTACTGTTTTGATTGATTTAAAGAAATAAAAGTGCAGTGAGAGCTGCTGTGCTCTCCTCCCACCTCAGAAACATTTTCAGGTTGTCGATCTAACAGCAGCAGAGCAGAGAGGAAACCCACTCTGTTCCATTTGCACCTTGCAATAAAATCACTCAAACACAAAGCTGCCAGTAATCTGCTCTGAATTACAGTAACAAATACATTTATACATATGCTATTGACATTTAATCATATGCATGCTTGAGTAATATAGAGAAAAAATAGTAAGTAAATGGGCAAAATGCTTGAGTAAAATGGTGATTTCTATTGGTTTAACTAAATCATGCTCTACTGGATCATTTCACAATTCAGTCTTGTCAGGCATTTAAAAACAGATCATTCAATAATTCCCAAGAATAAAAAATCCCAAGAAACAAAAAGTTACAATATTATTCTTAAATATCATGCTGATATTTATCTTATAATTAACTGAGGTTGACATGAAAAGACAAGTCATTTTTTTAAAGTATGTCAACAGCAGTCTTTAGTTTATAAGTTAGTTCTTCATTTGAATTATTAATTATTAGTTGGGCAATAGTATTGTCCATCATTTCCACACCTCTCCTGCAGTGTCCTGTATCAGATTCTATGTTCTCTGCTTTAAGCTACAAAACACATATCTGTTGCAGATCTAATTTATGAATTAGCGTCATTTCATGAAATCTTTTTTTATGACATGTTTGTCAGAATGAGCTGTTTGTTGGAACCTAAATACTTTCTATGCTAAGTTTTTCTTAAAAGCTCTGCAAGTGATAAGAGGATTGAAATAGTGTTGAATATTTTAGGAAGCTGATTTTCTACACTTCAGTGACAATGAACTAAAAGTATCTTGTTTAATTAAAGTCAACATTTCATTTCATTCAACAGAAAAATTCTCTGTACACACTGGATGTTCAGGTAGCTGACTTGAAAGGAGAAGGTTTGACTGGATTTACCAAAGTGTTTATCAAAGTGATGGACAGCAACGATCACGCTCCAGTCTTTACGGAGGCCTCTGTGAGTAAAACTGCTTTTTTTGATTTATTGCTGATTTTGTCACCCAGTAATTACTTGCAAATATTATATTCAAATCTATTTATCACATTGATTTGTGCAGCACATGGTCAGTTGTTAGGGTTAACACCTGTTAAACACAGATTAAACAAACACAGGAAAGACAAGAGAGTTAGATTCTTTCTTACTCGCGAGGAGAACAGACAGAGATTTGCTTTCAGTTACAATCTTCGACGGCTCTGAAGCACATTTGTCTGCTCCTCTCTTTTTTATTGTTTTCAGGATCCCTAATCACAAGGACGCTGTAGCTCTAAAGGGAGGGGAAGCATCTCATCACACAGCTACAGCGCCAAATGTCATTCACTAACTAACACACAGATTATTCTGCACTAGATAATCTCCTTCCAGGCACAAAGTTAAACAGAATATGCAGTCAATCTTCACAGTGACAGTTTTATAGCAATCCAGCAACTCAAACGAAGTAGAACTCTTCATCAAGAGATAACCCTGCAGGAAGACTATTGTCTCTGCTTTTCGCCAGTGAGGCCTTCTGAGAAAGGAATCAGAGTAAATCAACAATACAGAAACATTCTTAATTCTATCATGAGATTAAACAAAGGAAAGCATAAAAGAAAAGATACATTATAAAGATCCATGAGAATAACAAATATTTGATTAATAATATCACAATTTCTCCAACATCAGTAAACAGTAGATCACTCTCACTGCTATTAGTGAGTCCTTAAAGTACATATGACATAAAATGATAATGATGGTAAAATGAGCTATCTGTCTGACAACTTGTCTTACACATCTTCTGTCTCCTCTCAGTACACGGCCACAGTTGAAGAGAATAAAGTAGACGCTCTAGTTGTTAAGATGTTGGTGACGGACGCTGATGAGCCTCAAAGCCCAGCCTGGAATGCAAAGTTCAAGATCATTGATGGAAATAAAGAAAATCTGTTTACTGTGGAAACAGGAACAAACAAACAAGAAGGAATCATCACTACTGCTAAGGTAAGAGGAACAGGAACATTGTTGGACCAAATGTAGTTTTTTCAAAGTATTTTGTTTTTAAGCAAAATTCAGTGACCCTGAAGTTCAGCCTGAGCTGTTCATGCCTGAGTTAATACTGAACCTTTCTTCCTCTAAACCATGTGGTTTTAGGGTCTGGACTTTGAGAGAGTCAGTAAGCACACTCTACTGGTCACCGTGGTGAATGAGGAACCTTTCGCTGTTTCATTGATCACTTCCACTGCTACAGTGGTGGTGACTGTGGAGGATGTCAATGATCCCATCTTTGTCCAAAAGAGAAACAGGTTTCTAAACCTGAGGATCTTGCTGTGAACAGCACTGTGTGGTGCGGTACACAGCTTCTGATCCAGACATTGGACGCAAACAGAAAGTCACGTAAGGAACTTAAACAAAATGAAATTTCACATTTTTACACAGCTATTTTAACCAAGTTATATTGTAGAAGTTATATTCCAAATCTGTCTGTTTAAGAAACTAGATGGGCAGATTTATTACTTCATGGAAGTTGTTTAACACACAAAACTGCAAATTAGAAGTTTGTAAATCTAAAATATGAGGATATTTGTCTCCTGTCCCAACATACATCACACTGTCCCACATCAAAAAGCTGGAATTGATGTTTGAACGTGTTTTTATGGTTGTCTTTATTGTTACAGGTATAAAATACTCTATGACCCAGCTGGCTGGCTTGACGTTGCGAAGGAGACTGGTGTGATAAAAGTGAGAAACCAAATGGACAGAGAATCTCCACTTGTCAAGGAGGACAAATACACAGCCCTGATTGGTGCATATGATGATGGTAGGTGTGAGTCTTGTTCTGTAAATGTAGGAGAGAAACTTAGACGTGGATATAAAACAAAAATGTAGGTTTCCATTTCCATTATGCCATTTACAACTGTTCTTCAGAGCATTGGACTGGGAAGTAGTTTGTGTGATGAGCTCAGTTGATGAACCGCAGCACCAGTTGTCTGCTAATTGCTGCTACTGCTAGTCTGGAGGGGCTCAGTGGAAGAAGTCTGTGTTTTGCATGAGCCAGTGTTTAGGCACCCATAAGTAGTTGCCATGGGAGATTAAATGATTCCTCAAACATACATGAAAGTATCAAAGCAACCCTGCATGTATGTTTGGAGAAGGGAATCACATTATAACATGAGCTGAAGCTCAAAAAAGTTTATCTTTACATTATACTTGCCTTTTAGTTGTACTTCCTGGAGGTCTTTAAACTTATTCTGACAGCTGATTTGCTCTGCTCTTGAAAAGTTAAGACGTTTAGTCAGTTTGGCCGAACCCAGAGCGGCTCCTGCTACTGCTGTATGTCTGTCATCTCACCAGATCAGATCAAGCCGACAGCAACTGGAACTCTGGTTATTCATCTTGAGGATGTCAATGACAACCCACCAACCACTGAGGAACGCAAATTCACAGTGCGTCTTTTTTTTTTTTTTTAATAGTCCTACATATTAAACTTTAGAATAGAATTTAATATACTTGATGCAAAATTGTTAACTTTGGAAATAAAAAATAAATCAGTATTGAAGGGGACGTTTCAAATCTAGTCGATTTCCACAGGTGTGTAGCAAGACACCAGTTCCTCAGCTGCTGACTGTGACAGACAGAGATGGACCATACTTTACTTCTCCATTCAACGTCAGCCTAGTTGGCTCTGCGAAGGCTAACTGGACGGCCAGAATGATCAGCACCAGTATGTATAATCTACTCTTTCTTTGAGCACTGACTCTAACCCTAATTCATTCACATTCTTGAATGAACACGTCAATGAACATGCTCATTCTTTGAGCACATCAAGTTGCCAATGAATGAAACTGTTGCCAATGACAAATCAAAACTAAGAGGAAGGAATTGACAAATAGAAACTGACCATGAGCATAGACTCAACTGTTAGGAATGATCTAAGCATTTTCCTGATGTGAATAAACCCCCCAATATTTAAAACTGGTGGAATTCCTCATAAATTGATGTCTGCCATTCTCTTATTTTGCAGGAACAGGAATTATCCTGACTTCAAACCGTGAGCTGGAGATTGGAGTTTACACTGTAGCCATGAGCATTGCAGACAACCAGGGTCTGTCTCAGGTCAGCACAGTCACAGCCAGAGTGTGTGACTGTGCTGGAAAAGACGTGAGCTGTCGGGAGAAAGGTGTTGGTGGCTCCGACGCTCCAGTCATCCTGGGAATACTGAAGGCCATCATGGTGCTGCTGATCAGTGAGTTTGAAATTTGATTGTGTTGCTATACCATTGTGACTGTGGTTGCTGTAAATGTCCAGGGAGGCGTCCTGACCAGATGCCCGAGCCTCAACTGGCTCCTCTTGATTTAAAGGAGCAGCTCTTCTCTGAGTCCCTCCTGGTGACCGAGCTGAGTCCAGACACCTTGCGGAGAAAACCCATTTCGGCCGCTTGTATCCGCAACTTTGTCCTTTTGGTCACAACCCAATCTGCCTGTCGACCTCCCGCTCTCTTCTTCCCTCATTCGTGAACGATAACCCAAGATACTTCCAACTTCGTGGAATTTTGTTGGGATTTAATAATTTGGTGGTTAAAACGGTCTGCTCTTCGTTTAGTGGTGGGGCTGCCATCGTTCCTGTTTGTGAGACGAAGGAGAACAGAGGAGGAACCTGTTGAACTCAGAGATCTCAGCATGGCAGACAACATGTGTGAGGATGAGGAGAGGAACGACAGAGAGGACATGCAGGTGAACATCTGATGCAGGCTTTCAGCAAAAACATCTTTTAGACAATATGAGTCGTGAACAAAGTGTAAGTCTGAACTGTTAGTGGGAAAAGGTCCATGTGCCCAGGAGACTCTTCTAAACGACATAAACGACATAAGCCAATGGATGGAAAAAAACAAAATAATGTAAATATTTTTTCTTGATCTTGTTTAGTTCTTCAGCTGCAATCATCCTGTATGTGAAGTAAAACCCAGCAATGCTATTGCTCTCCTTTCACAAACTTTTTTGAAGACAACCAGCATTAATCGTTGTGAAAACTAAACAAAAATAATGTGCATCAGTTCTATTATAGATAACCTGTTCCATGTTAAACTAACTTTGTCCTTCTTTGCTTCCCATTTGAAACATCCTGCTGGTGTTGGACTGTAAGGGAGGCGATTCCGACTCGCAAGACCCGGAATACGAATATCTGACTGAAGGGGAACCACTTTCAGGAACTGCCTGACAATAATGGAGAACAGGATGAAAACAAATTGTACACGTTTGGTACATTTGAATACAATTGCTCCGTGCGTTTTAAACGTGTCTGTAGTGACATTTTGTGGTTGTTGGGATATTTTGTTTTAGTTTGATTTCGATCTTTGTAATGACCTATTGTTGAGAGGTCAAAGATGTTTTTGATTCCTCTGCCCTCACTATTTGGGGACTTGGCTTTCTGCAAGCTTTTTAAAGCTTTTCTGAAAACTTTTAACCTTTGTTATGTTTGTTTATGTTTTGTTTTCTGCGTTGCTGGTGCCACTGAGCAAACACTGGACAGCAACATGTGCACAAGCTTTAAGGTACACCTCAAAATTTGCCATCATGTTTCTATACTGCCCGGACGTAATATTAACATTTTTGGAGAGGCTCATCTGTAAATCTATGAGGGAATCTCTAAGAGCTTCTGTGGAGAGAGCATAAGATTAGGGTGATGGTAAGGAGACAATTCAGCCCTGAAAACCTGGAGCTCTTTAGATAAATCAGTAAAACATTCAAAAACATGCTAAGCCTCTGTAACAAAAGGTTTATTGCTTTAATGCCAGTAAAGATTTTTCACTTCTCTATTTAAAAGGTTCCTTCCTTTGAGATCAGCTGACCCAGTGGCTTCCTGTATAAACCATATATATATATTTTTTAGTTTGCTTTCTGTTTAATTTTGCCTGATTTGTTTTTTCTGTTTGTTGAAACACCTTGTGTTAATTTTCCAAGGCACTGTATTAAGTTTTAAGCAGGAGCTTTAAGCAGGTGTTTCATTAAATGACATTTTCATTGATATTTCCAATATTCTGAACTAAATTGTCGTCTTTGCATCAGTTGTAAGCAGAAAATCATCATTAATGAAATGCGGGTTTGAAAGCAGTCACTTTGGAATAAATCTCTCACTTATTTGTTACTAAAATAAATGGACTTTCAAAAGTGTAACGTATTGAAAATGACTGCATGCATAACTATAGAAATGTACTACATTTATTATAGTCACTATGCATTAAAAAGAGCAAAATCACTCTAATAAACATAAAGACCATCACAGAGCCAGTGAATAAAGACATAAAGATTTAATATTAAAAAGCATTTGTCTTATCTTCAAATATTGCAGACATCTTTTTTTGTGCAAAACAAACAAAAACAATCTCATCAACTCTTGCTAATGACACAATGGCTGAAGAACGTCGCATGGATCTAATGTATTGAAAAAATAAACACTGATGGAAAGATTAATAACAAATAAATAATGATAAAAAAAGATACATAGTACTTACTATATTGGTTACATTCTCCACAAAACTGAGCTTTCAAGTTTGCATGTCTAACAAAGAACAGAATCATAAATGAAGAACTAAAACTAATGTGAGGGTTTAACCTGAAGATCCGAATGAAGAACAGCTAAAAGAGGAAAAATACGACTGATTTCACATATTGTCACACAGATTATGTATTTCACACATTGTCACAGTTGGACTGCATGCATGCAGGCATTTTTCTCACAGTGTGGGTTCATTTACATCATGTCATCATCATCTCCTCCTCCGTACATGTCGGCCAGTTTCTTGAAGCGAGGGCCGTACTCTCTGAGGGAATCGTAGTCCTGGTCTCCGTCGCTGGAGGAGTACAGAGACGAGAGTTTTTCTGCCTCAGAACCGTCTCCTTCCAGATCGAACACCAGCAGGCAGTCGTAGGGGGGAGCAGTGAGGTCTGTATCCGCCACCTTCAGGTTCTGAATTATGAAAGGCAAAAGTTAAGAAATCTGGGTTTGAAACTAGATGCAACACAAAGGGAAACATTTGCTCTTATTTCTCACTCACATGGTCGATAAAGTCCTGATCTCATCTGGGTTGGTGGGCCGAGGTCGGTACTGGGGCTGCTTTCAAGAGGAGGAGCCATGATGGTCTTGGACATGTCAGACTTGTTGGTCAGAGCAAAGTGGAGAATGCTCTGATTATAATCCTGACAGAGAGAGGGAGGATCACTGTTAGACACGTATTGGCTTATTTTCCAATCCGCAATCATCCACTTGAATTGTTAAGAAATATGGCAAGACGAAAGGTTTTCAGTTATTACTATGTTGTAAGCACAATTTATTGTGGATTTTAAACAAATGTAACATGTCATGTGTCAGTTGAATAGACGTGTCACTGTTCACCTGCTGAATGCTCTCTCCACCTCCCTCTTCATTAGAAAAAATAAGCTCATCCCTGTCATCATCTTCACTTCTTTCATCTTTTACTCCTCTTCATTTCTTCCTTTCATCTTTAAATACATCATCAAGGCAATCACTAAAAACAGGAGCACAAACAGTAAACGATGTGTTATTGGTTTCTTGTAATATGTTCATTTTAAATATTGTGACGATGTGCGAAAACATCAGCCTCTGTTCAATGTGTCTCTCTTGGTGATGGTGTTACTGAAATGAACTGACTTTTCATCAATATTGAAATTTATTGAACGGGTCTGTAATTTAACATCAAATATAAATACTATCTGTTTTATCCAGTACTTGTGATTATAATTTTCAGATCCTGCTTGCTTGCTTTTTGTTCAGCATCACTGAATCTGGTCGGTTTTTTCTGAGTTGTTATTTTGTGTTTCATGGTTAAAATTTCTCTATCCGTCTGCAAGTAAACATTTAAAACTCACCAGTTCCCAGCAGCACCAATAAAAGAACTCCAGCAATGACCCAAGAACTGGAGCTGGCAACTTTTGCTTCTCCTCTCTTGCAGATTGGTGTTCCAGTGCAGTCGCACACTTTAGCTGTGACCGTGCTGACCTGTGACAGACCCTGGTTGTCTGAAACACTCATGGCCACTTTGTAGGTTCCTTCTGCAATCTTAGGCTTTAATCTCACGATAATGCCTGTGCCTGTAAGCAAAAAAAACAAACAAACAGAAAACAGATATAATCTAAAGAACAGCGGAAAAGCAGAAACAGTGAGTTAGAAGGGACCCATCGGTTTTAGCTGAAAAAAAAAAAAAACCCAAACAAAAACTTCAATTAAAAACTGATGGATCATGTTTTAGCATATCTAAAAACAGGATGTTAAGTGGATTGATCCGGATCCTCCTGATCTGCTGTGACTCATTATCCTGCTCCAAGTCAACCGTATTTTTCATCCAGCTGTCATTTATTTGACACTTTGTGTTATTTATGAACGGACTAAAGCAGGTCCTTCAAAACTTCTGCGTCCCCTGAGTGTTTCCCAACTCCGGCCCTCAAGGCCCCGAATGTTGGAGACGACTCATCGCTTTCCTCCGCCCGATTCAGCCAATTGCAGTTCAGCAAAGACCTATGAATTGAGATCGCCCTGGCTGAAGCAAGGAAACACCTAAAACCTGCAGGGTGGTGAGCCTGGAGGACCAGAGCCGGAGACTCTGCCCTCACAAACCTTCAGTGGGTCACAGAGCAGATCGATCGACATCTTAGCACTGAAGAGACGATTTATGAAAGAGGTACGTTTTTCAATTTGTTGAGATCATTTTCTGTTCTCAGGAACAACTTTGTAATCAGTATAATTAGTAATTAATATAAAAAGGGTAAACATACCAGACGCGTTCATCTCAACGGTCCAGTTAGCCTTTGAAGCCTCCCGCAGGCTGACAGCATATGGAAAAGTAAACTTTGTTCCATCTTTATCCATTACATTCAGTACATGAGGAATTGGTTTCTTGTTACACATCTGGGGAGGGGGGGAAATGGATTTGAAACCCTGGTGAATATGAATGTGCTACAGCACATATGTAAGCAGGCATGAGCCGACAGCAGGCTTTTTTCCAGGCCGAGTACAAAGTACTACTGCTTCAGTTCAGGTACTTAAAGATTCTAAGAACCACTGCAGAGTAGTTAATAAGTTTGTACTTATACTGTACATCACAACAAACATTGAAAAACACAAACAAAACTACTGCGTGGCATACAAAATAATAAGTAAAAAAATGAGGAAATAAATAACGAAATTAAATTTATTTTAGTATCTGCCATGTTTATCTTCAAATATCTTTATTTTGACCTCGTCCTGCCACCTAATTTCTCTTTTCTTCTTTGTATTTCTTTTCTTGTTGGTCTGTTACCAACACCTGGTATCTGGTTTGTTCAAACCCAACTCAAGAGGAAACACCCAGAACAAAAGTGGCATTGGTTCTGAGTAACTACTTGTTGTCAATCACATGAGTACATGACGCTGGTGTTGATCATTGTTTTAGTTTGAAAATTCAGTAGAGATTAGAAGAAACATAAAATAAAAGTCATTTTAAGTACTTTAAGAATAAACAAAGATTTCCACTTGATTTTATCTGCCTGGAAAATATGCAGCCAACGAAACCCCCTAACCCTGCTGACATACCTCAAATTCACGCTCAACAATGCTGGGGGCGTTATCGTTCACATCTTCAAGCTTGATAATCAAAGTTCCGGTTCCGGTAGCTGGGTTCTGATCTGGTGAGATGACGGACGTGGGTCAGGAAATCGTGAGCAATCACACAGATGGCTTCGACAATCTACTGAGACTCTTGTGACAAGGTTAGGAAATCTAAAACTGCAATACTTGTGATTCTTCCAGAGAGAAGTCCCACAAAGCAAAGGAAAAGGCTTCCTAAGACTACAGACGTGGAGGACCCTTAACTTCTGAGGTTGTACATTTGATTTCAGCTCACAGACGACCATCTAAATGAAGCTATTCAATTAGGATTGACTTCACATTTGATTCCAAAATGTAGCTGCTGCTGTACAAATCAATGAATCCTCACACCTACCATCATCATATGCACCAATCAGGACTGTGTATTTCTCCTCTTTGACAAATAGAGATTCTCTGTCCATGTCTTTTCTCACTTTTATCACACCAGTCTCCTTCTCAACGTGAAGCCAGCCAGCTGGGTCTTTGAGTATTTTATACCTGAACATCAAGCACAAAAATGAATGTAAATAACACAAAGCAGGACTTTGCAAGCTGTGTGATCAAGAAAAGAAATTACTTATCTACAACATAAATGTAAAATATGCATGCTGTGACTCTTCATGGTGGAGGATTTTCAGGTTCCTTACGTGACTTTCTGTTTGCGTCCAATGTCTGGATCAGAAGCTGTGTACCGCACCACAGTGCTGTTCACAGCAAGATCCTCAGGTTTAGAAACCCGTTCCTCTTTTGGAGCAAAGATGGGAGGTTCATTGACATCCTCCACAGTCACCACCACTGTAGCAGTGGAAGTGATCAATGAAACAGCGAAAGGTTCCTCATTCACCACGGTGACCAGCAGAGTGTGCTTACTGACT